CTTGTATGCCTCAACCCTGGTCGAGGCTTGTTCTCTGAGTTCTTCGATAGTGTCCAGGGCGGTCAGCATGAGTTCTTCGTTTTGATCTTGATCATAAGTGCTCGATCGTTGAGACTGCAGTTCTAATTCCACTGGTAGAAGTGCCTCCATCCCATATACCACGCTAAAGGGCGTTTCGCCAGTGGTCGACCTTGGAGTGGTCCTATACGCCCAGAGCACAGATGTTAGCTCGTCGACCCATGCTCCTGAAGCTTTTTCCAGCCTTGTTTTAAGTCCGTTTAGGATGATCCTGTTGGTCACCTCTACCTGTCCGTTGGCTTGTGGATGTGCGACAGAAGCGAAGTGCTGCTCGATACCCATTTCCTCGCACCATGCTCTTATTTGCTTACCATTGAATTGCGTTCCATTATCAGATATCAGGATTTTAGGGACTCCAAACCGGCAGCAAATGTTATTATACAGGAACTGGATCACTTTTTCTTCTGTAATTTTGGCCAACGGTTCAGCTTCCACCCATTTCGTGAAGTAGTCGACCGCCACGATAAAAAATTTTCGTTGCCCTGTTGCTTGCGGCATTGGTCCCACTAGGTCGATGCCCCACTGTGCAAACAGAATAGGTGCGCTCATTGTAGTCATTGTCTCCGCTGGTTGGTGTATGAGCGGGCCGTGCTTCTTGCACTGCATACACTTCCTGGCCATTTCCTTAGCATCCGCTTTCATTGTCGGCCAGAAGTAGCCTGCTCTTAAGATCTTTGCAATCATGGCCCCGGCTTTGCTATGATCGCCACAGCATCCCTCGTGCACTTCTCGTAGAACGTACCGACCCTCCTCTTTTGATACACATCTCAAATGCGGACCTGCATATGATCGTTTATAGAGAACCCCACCTTGCTCGAAAAACCTCCTCACTACCTTTGTGGTCCCTTCCCGTAACTCCTTCTAGATTGGGGCCCTCCAGTCTTCTACCTCCTCGATCTCCGCCACCTCGACTTCCGTCGCGCTACTCTCCATGTGAAGTAGGGTCACACTCCTACTCTTACAATCGACCAAGCTTTGTGCGATTTTAGACAGTAAATCAGCCCGACCATTCTCCCCTCAGGGTATTTGTATTAATTCGAATGTCCCAAATTCTTCCTTCAACTTTTTTATGTTGTCCACATGACGTTGCAACCGATCTTTTTTGATCTCGAAACCTTCTTGGAATTGACCGACCACCAACTGCGAGTCAGAATGGACCTGGATTCTCCGAGCACCTCCGGCCAGAGCCAATTGTAATCCCTTTGTCACATATTCTGCCTCGTTGTTTGATACTCGAAACCCCATCTTGACGGCGAACTCTAAATAATCTCCTTTGGGCGAAATCAAGACTATTCCCAAGCCAGCCCCGCTCCTCGATAACGAACCATCTGCGAACAACTGCCACATTCCTCCGCCATCTTCCTCCTCCTTCGTACCTTCCTGTATGAAATCGGCCAACACCTGCCCTTTGATCGCCCTTCTTGGTTCATATTTTATAGAGTACTCGCTTAGCTCGACCGCCCACTTTACTAGTCGACCAGACACTGCTGGTCGACCTAAAGTCTGCTCCAACGGCATGTTTGTGCGCACCTTGACTTTGTGGTTCAGGAAGTATGGCCTCAGCTTCCGAACTGTCACGACCACCGCCAATGCACATTTCTCAATTTCCGAGTACCTCAACTCTGCTCCTTGCATTACCCGACTGACATAATATATTGGGAATTGTGCCACTCCTTCTTCTCGTAATAATACTGAGCTTACAGCACTCTCGCCCACCGATATGTAGAGCACGAGCTCCTCTCCGTGAATTGGCTTGGCCAATAAGGGCAAGTTAGCCAGCGTCCTCTGCAACTCCTCGAAGGCCTTTTGGGCTTCCTCTGTCCACTGAAATTTCGAGCTCTTCTTCAGGGTTTTGAACAAAGGGCTGCTCTTTTCGGCAACCTTGGAAATGAACCTGCTTAGGCCCGCTATTCGACCAGTTAGTATTTGGACCTCCTTCACATTAGCCGGCAGCTTCATTTCGATCACCGCTTTTACTTTTTCAGGATTCACCTCTATCCCTCGCTTTGTCACCATGTACTCCAAGAACTTTCCCGACTTTACTCCGAACGAGCACTTAGTCGGGTTGAGCTTCATGCCAAACCTCCTTAGTGTCTGGAAAGTCTCCCTCAGGTCAGCCGCGTGGTCGTCCTCCTTCTTGCTTTTCACCAGCATGTCGTCAACATACACCTCCATATTCCTCCCCAACTGGTCTTTGAAAATTTGGTCGACAGGACGTTGGTAGGTGGCCCCGGCATTCTTTAGTCCGAATGGCATGACTACATAGCAATAGGTGCCCTTGCTTGTTATGAAACTCACCCTCTTCCAGTCTTCTTTTGCCAAGGGGATCTAGTGATATCCCTGAGAGGCGTCCATCAGGCTAAGCAACTCGCATCCTGCCGTGGAGTCTACCAGCTGGTCGATCCTCGGCAGCGGGTAAAGATCTTTCGGGCAAGCCTTGTTTAGATCACGGAAATCGATGCACATCCTCCACTTTTCTCCTGATTTGGACACCATGACTGTATTGGATAACCACTCGGGGAACTGAATCTTTTTAATGTGTCCAGCGTTCAACAGCTTGTCGACCTCCTGCTCGAGGATTTTGTCCATCTCCGCACCATGATGCCTTCTCTTTTGCTTCACCGGTCTGACACTGAGATCAATATTAAGTCTGTGCTCAATCACCCTGGCCTCGATCCCTGTCAGCTCGTCCATTGTATACGCGAAGATGTCCGTAAATTCCCTTATTAAATTGATCAACTTCGACCTGACCGGCTCCCCCAAATCTTTTCCAATTCTGAATTTTCGGTCATCACATCCCTGCACCATTTGAATTTCTTCAATATCCTCTCCAGGCTGTATATCTATCTTCTCCTTCCCCTTATCTTGTCCTCCCCTCTCCTCTTTCGATCGTGATCCTCCTGGTCGATCAGGCCTCACCTCTTTACCTTTCAACTGCCTCTCTGCCATCTGCTTGTTGTTACTGACTGTGGTCTGGTAGCAACTCCTCGACGTGAGTTGGTCCCCTGCAACCTCGCCTACATTTTCCCCCACAGGATACTTGATCGTCATGTGGTAGGTAGACACGACTGCTTGGAATGCATTTAAACCTGTCCGCCCTAGAATGATATTGTAAGACGATTCCGCTCCGACCACCACAAACCGGATCATTCTCACTTTCCTCGAGTCACCCGACCCTAATGCTACGGTCAGGCTCACTTCTCCCATTGGCATTACCTCCCCACCATTGAACCCGTATAAGGCTGTCGCCACCGGTTTTAATTCCAGATTCAGGTGTTTATTGATCTGCGCGAAACAATCGTAGAACATAACGTCGACTGAACTCCCCGTGTCGATGAACACTCTTTTTACATCGAATCCTGCCACTTCGGCCGTGATGACCAGTGCGTCATTGTGGGGTAACAAGATTCATTCCGCATCTTCTGCTCGAAAACTTATCACCGGCATCCGACCAGTTATCCCGACTTCCTCTCTTTTACGCTTCACCGCCCGCACATGCCCCTTTCGTGCATTATTTGAATCCCCATCTGTTGGTCCTCCTGAGATCATGTAGATCGTGCCCCTCTTCACAGGCACCTCCTCCCTCAACTCCTCTCGATCATCGTTCTGTCGTCTCTTTCTTTCTCTCCTTGCATCGTCCTCTCCATCATCGTCTCTATCACTCCTTGCCGCAGAATTTTCCCTGCATCTCCTCCTTTCTTTACCTCGTGGTCGATCGCGAATGTCAAATTCTTTCAAGTGCCCAGCCCGTATAAGACGCTCGATCTCGTCTTTCAAGTGTCTACAATCGTCTGTATTATGTCCGTAGTCCCTATGAAACCTGCAGTATTTATTCGACCTAGGTTTGGTCGGTCCCTCGAACCTGGTCGATGGCCAGGTGACTTCCTTGCTTTCCAACTTCTCCTCTATGGCCGCTAAGACTTCGCCCATCTGGGCGTTGATAGGGGTAAAATGATTATATCTCTGACCGCTTGGTAGCTGAGGTCGTCCCTGCCAGCGATCTTCTCGCCTTTCTCGGAACGAGTTTTGCCCACCCCTCCTGGGCGACGACCTCTTAAAAGATCCTCCTTTTGGAGAATTTTTCCTAGGCGATCCCCTTCTGGGCGAACTTGTTTTTCCCTTCCTCTGCTCGGGCTTCACAACGTCCTCGAGCTTGGCGAATTCTGCTTCCGTTTATTCCAAGTTAATGTATTTCTTGCATCTCTTGAGCACCTCATCGTAAGTTCGAGCAGGCGTCTTTGCCAGCGACGTTCGACATGGTCCTGGCCTTAGACTGCTAATCAATCCTCCTGCTTTCACTTCATCACCCGCCGTGGGCACCTCCAGACACACCTGATTATATCGAGCAACATATTTCCGTAAGGATTCTTTCTCGCCTTGCCTCATTGCCATCAGGGTGAGGTATGTCTTCTCCTGGGCGACTGCGCTTGAGTATTGATTAGTGAGTTGTCCTACGAAGTCCTCAAAGTCTCTGATCGAACCTGGAGTCAGTTGGTGGAACCAGTCAAGCGCACCTCCTCGTAAAGTCGACAAGAAGGCCCTGCAGCTGACCGGATCTGAGTATCTATGTAAGACGGACATGTTTTCGAATGCTCTCACGTGCCTCGACGGGTCACTCGACCCATCGAAAATCAGGTTTATCTCCCGAAAGCTTGCAGGTAACGGCGCAGCTAGAATTTCCCTCGAGAATGGGTGTCCTCGAGCACGTCTTTCTGGCCTCCCTTCCACCTTCTCCTGCAATTGCCTCAGTTGTTCGGCCATCCTCTCCATAGCTCTATCCCTGTACTCTCCTCCTCCGCTATAGCTCGACACATCCTCCTCTTGCGTTCCTTGCACCGTTGTCGGTGCAGTGGCAGCCTGGGATGTCTGGTGAGTTGCTTGTTGCACAGCCTGTGCCGCCGCGTCGGCCACCATCCTCTGCACCTCTTCTCTTGTCATGGCCACCACTTGTTGAGCAGGGGGTTGTGGTGCTCCTCCTATTGGCGGCACCATGGTTTGCGTTATCTGCCCTGCTTGCTGCGTCGCGACCGGGCCCGCTTGTAATGGGGCGGGGACTGCCGGGGGTACCGCTTCACGAGCCTCGTGCTCTCTGCTCGTACCTGCTCCTCCTCCCAAGATCGCTGTACCCTGGGGCATCGGCGTCGGGGTCACCGGTGTTTGCGAGGGTCCAGAGAATCCAGGTGGAGGTCCTGCTCCCATCGGTCTTGTCGTCGTCCACGCCTCGTCAAATGAAGACTGCAGATTCACTCGAGGAACTCCGTCCGCCATAGCTGAGCTCAGAACACTACTTTTCGAACGAAAGTCCCACAGACGACGCCAATAATACAAGTCTCGCACCCTGCCCGGCTGGAATTCGCCTTAAGCTTGCTCTCCTCGCAAGTTGGACGCGGAACTTGCACGAAACTCCCACACCGGAGGTGTTTTCCGGTGAAGAGCCTCCAACGCTCAAGTCAGATCTTGAGAGATAATATGAGTGTATAGAAAGATGTAAAGTATATCAGATTGTCCCGAAAATGAGGATTCTCGCCCTTATTTATAAGAGCGAGTTACCTGTATTGCACGCGCGAGGCGAGTGCGTTCGTCTAACCGTCCTCTGCTTGACCGTACGGTCGCGCGCCTCCACTATCCATGATGTCAGAGAACGTGTCGCCTTTGTCAGAGAATGTCAGAGTCGGTTATGGCTGTTGACCAGTCACAATGCGCCGCGTGTCCTTTCCCTCAGGTGCTGGAGATTCCTCCATGTGCTCCGATGCTCTACCAGTTATGTGCGTCTATGTCTCCTCGATCGCCCTTTCTCGACCCTGTGCTCAGCTGACTTGTATCTGTCGACCACCTCTGCTCTCCTTTACTGTCGTCATATGCTCGATGTTCTAATGGCCGGTATCTGGTCCTGTTCGACTATACCATTCGACCTTATCCTTACTAGACCATTCAACAAATCGGTCGGTCTCCTTTGATTAGCCCTATAAACCGGTCCAGTATATAATATCCCATATCATAGTGTTAGTCCCGGTTCAGTCCGTATTTTATAATTTCAGTCCCAGTTCTGGATTTCAGTATCATTTTCAGTTAAAATTCCGGGTCCAGTTCAATCCAGTAAATTAATATCAGTTCAGTTCCGTACTTAACTGGTTTCAGTTGTACCGATTAAGTCCGGATATCATGTTAAATCGAGTAGAGCATCTTCACATAATTAATCAGTTAATTTATTAGTCTGAGCATAGTCCTTAGTAATTGTTTATATTATTTTTAGTTTGATCAGGCATCAGCACTACCTGCATTTTCAGCTATTCAGGTGGGGACTCAGACTAAGTACTACACTGATTATAATTACTCTACCATGTTCGAGGTATATATATTCAGTATCCGCTCGGAATGGTTGTCGGTCCATTCTGGGTTCTAGTGGCCCTAATCTGCCCACTAGAGTGTGCACATGGTGTCCGGCTTTGCCGGCAGATGTTCAGTTTCAGGCAGGTGACTTATGTCACGAGATGAGTATCAGATTATTCAGACCGGTATCAGATCAGTTCTATATGCCAGGATCATGATATTGTTATTATTTTCACTGTTTTACTTTAGAATGGGTTTCCACGGAGCACAGTGTTTTAGTGCTCACTTCCCACTTATTTCATGTTTTTCAGGTCACAGGGTCGGGAACGAGGAGTGAGCTGATGAGCTGTTCAGGACATTTGTTTTGTTATGTATAAACTATGTTTTGGCCACGCTATATTTCCGCTAAAACTTTCAGTACTTAAACTCAGTTTTTGTTCCGACTTTAGTCGGTTAATACTTTATATAACCGTTTTTATTATAAGTTTACAATTAACGGTTTTTCAGTTAGATTTTCACGGTAGCATCCCGAATCAGTTTTCGCAAAATAAATATTGTATTAATTTATCCAGAAAATTTGCGAAAAATGCGTACTCTGATATATTAAAATAGCGGGGTGTTACACCATGTCTTATATTGAGGTAGTGTGGTTCGAAGAGTTTTGAACAGAAAGATCACCTTTCGGTTCCTTATAAGACTAAACTATTCGTTCACAGTCTAGACTGGCAGTGAGACCCCACTTGGAAAAAAGACTGTAGTGTATTCTTGATTCAATTGGTTTTTGATTGAAGGATTACACTAGAACTTATGTTGAGTGTTGAACAGGACCACGGAAGGATAAGGATATGAGACTCACTGACCGTTGTCGTAACCTAGACCTTTAGTGATTGATGCGTTCTCTTAAGCTGTAAGATAATATAAAATAGGCATATATTTTTATTTCTTATTTATTTGATTTACCAAGTGATTTCTATTTTAATAGGATGACATACGAGATATTTTGGTAAGTAAGAATAATTTTATGATGTGCTATTATAAATTAATTACGGTCACTATGTTCCAGTGCGCTGGATTGATGACGTCCCCGAAACGAGCTCAGGAAGGAACATTATGTTAAACCCTGCAGATACACGATATTCTGACATAATGGTTAAAGTCTGAGTGGTACTAATTTCGGAAATGAATAAGAAGTTGATTAATTATTTTTGTCAGTAATTTAATTAATCAACGAACGTTATATCTTAAACATAGGGAGGTAAATGGATCAATCAGATTAATATTATTTAATCATAGATGCTCGATTTTATTGGTAAAATAGTGGCTAAATGGGGAGAGCAATAATATTACTCTAGTGGGATGTTTTATTATTTAATTCTATTAAATAGGAATTAATTTTATTCCATATTAATTAATTAATTAGGAGAATAAAATTCCTACTAGAATCTTCTCTTGGGATTAGGAGACTTGGGAGTCTTCTAGAAGATGGAGATTAGTAGGAAATATATTTCCTACATTATATTATTAATTGGAGTAAAATTAGGTTTCCTAAATTAGGAATTAATTTTATTCCATGATTATTAATTTAATTAGGAAAGATATTCCTACAAGGATCTTCTCTAGTGTTAGGAGACTTAGGAGTCTTCTAGGAGGAGGAGATTAGTAGGAGATTTCCTTCCTACATTAACTTAGTATTGGAGTAGAATTAGGATTCCTAGACCTAATGGAATAAGCCCATATTTAGCACCTCCTTAAAGTCCCAAATGGAGCCTATAAATATACCATGTCCCAATCTCTCCTACAAGTTGATGTTGGCCGATTTTTCTCTTCTACATACACGAGAGAATAACATTGTTCGAGAGTCAGGGAGATTCGATTAAACGCTCTACCAAGTTTAATCGAAGTAGGTGTTTAGGTAATCCGTTAGAAGGCTTTTGGGTACAATTTATTCGAGCCTTTATATTTATATTTTTCGGTCATCATCATCATCTCGTTGCCACCCATCGCCGCCCTGAGTGGTCGCCGAAAATTGCCTACCGCCGCCAGCCGTCGCCCGAGCCCAGCCGATCGCAACCGCCCGCTACCGCAAGCAGTCGCGTATCGCCCAGGCCCTACCAGCGACGCCCAGCAATGCCCAATCGACGCCCGCGAGCTTCCAGCGTCCACCTGCCTGCTCGTCGTCCACCTGCGCTACCAGTTGACGTCCGCCCGTGCTCCCAGCACTCGCCAACACGCGCGCGCGACATGCTCCAGTGCCCGTTCACACTGTCCCGCATCCCGCGCATCCTCGCCAGCGCCCGTCTGCGTTCCCAGCGTCTTTCTGTGTACGCCCGGCGCCCGACGCGCCCCGTCAGTGATCTGCACGTCATGCCAGCAGTCCGCGCACGCTGCCCGCATGCTGTCCATGCCCGACACGCACGATCGCCCGCTGCAACCCGACGCCGAGACCCACGTGCCGTTCAACTGTGACTCGTTTGACGTGTCGATTAGAATCGACTAAAGGACAAACCTTTCCGCCCATTAGGTTGTGGTGTTCAGACAAACATCATCAACGGTACTCTACATCGTCTCAGAATCGGCAAAAATTTTAAAAGGTAAACGTCCATATCCTAACTATATATTCCGCTGCGTTAGAATTTATTTTGATAAAGTTTAATACTGTGCATGTTGTTTGACGTTCCTAACAGAACCCAACAACTGGTATCAAAGCTCAGGCTTAATGCAAACTCGTGCACAGTTTGAATTTTGGACTTTGTCTGTCTACATGAATTATGTGCGTACGGACGCAGTGGCATAGTAGATTAGAAATTGCAATAAGTTTTTGCAGGTGTTTCGAATCTGACTACTGTGGCCCGTATGTATGGATTTTAATTCATGTTGAATGTATGCTGTTTTTAAAGCCTTGGACATGTCAAGGAATTTTTGGGTTGGAGAATGCTTGTAATAAATTATTCGCGCGGTGGGACACCGCATAATTTATTGCTTTCATAGAAACTCATGTACGGCTCCTGCGTGGGTCATAGGATGAATTATGTAATTGTTGTTTATATTATTCGTTATTTATCTGGCGGGCGTGGACAAACCTTGACGGGGCGAGGCATAAACACGTACACAGATGCCATGGTGATGATCCAATGGCGACTTTCCCGGAGACGACCAATTCAATAGGAGTCACTGCGAAAGGGGAGTTCCAATACCTGAAACGGAGGACACACTCAACAAGGACAGGACTATGTTTTCTCCATGACATTGGAGATCGATTAATGGCCATGATAGTTGGATTATAGTTTCTAGTTTATTATTGCTCATTAATCATGCATGTTTTATATGATTGCTTATGTGCAAATACAAACATGTTAAGAAAATCCCATAAAATAAAAATTATATTAAGTGTGTAATGGGTTGAAATAAATTACATCCAAGGCCTCCATTATAGGTTTGTCAGTGAAGTGATTTAATTCGAGCCCAAAGGACGTTTTATTTCACAGTTCACAAGGACGAATCTCCTTCGGGATGGTTATAGTGAGCTATTTCAAAAGCGTACGGGTCACCCAAAGGTGGACGTATAATTTTGGTAGTAAACTTAGTACCAATTAATGGGATACGCTTAAAGTGAAAATAATTACGATAGTCCCAAAGGACAAGG